AGCAGTTGGTGACCTTATGGTTAGTAACACATAACCCACTACACTACCACGGCTCCTTAAATAGCAAAACAACGACCTAAAACATCAGATCTACCTACAACGTGACACTAAATTAAAGTCTTAGCAAAGCCCCTGCTCTTGAGCAAAAATGCGCACTAAAGAAAGAAATAACAATTATTTTCCTGAATGCAGTATGTGTCTCAGATACCTTTAAGTACATCAAAAGTATTGCACCTTATCCTCTCATAGTGGGATTCAAAATAATGAACAAAATGGAAATCATAACTTTAATCACAATGTTGACATCTGGATACCTACTGTGTCTGTAGATGATTCTACATTCCTAATTGATGACAGAGAGCACTGCCTGCTTGCAGTCTTTAGTTTGTTGTTTTTTTTAACAAAACCCCAATTATCATTGGATATAGTGCCATTCATATAAAACAAAAACAAAACAAACTTCAGTGTTCAGGCTTTCTTATAAAGTAGCTTAGCTATGTGACTATGCCAGTCAAAGAGATCTGAGTAGAGTATTCTTCACCACTGCAGAATGTGCCCTTAAAGTGATGGGATTGTAGCCTCCATTCCTAGTTCTGTGGAAACCTAACAGCCACACTGGATCATAACTAAAGGGTCACCTTTTAGTAATAAGGGTGAAACAGAAAGCTAGACAGAGCCTTTCTCTAATGACGTAGTGATCCAGGCAAAATATGCTTATGTGTTAAAAATGTGTATATTCATTTGGGTTGCCACCAAAAAGACAAAAATAAATATTAGCCATTTCAATGTAATCAACTTTCCACCTGAAACAATGTTGTTGTTGTTAAGTGCTGTTGAGTCAGTTCTGACTCATAGTGAACTTGTGTAGGGTTTCTGAGGAGCAGCTGATGGGTTTGAATTGCCAACCTTGTAGTTCCCAATCAGGGCTGATCCTACAGTGCTATGAGCTCACATGTGACATTTGATTATAACTTTTACTCGTTTCCAATTGCTTCACTTGCCTAAGTATTACCTACTTACCTAGATCATAATTTTTTGGAAGCCTATTAGTTTAAAACACTCCTTTTTTTATCATTCCTAATGAATATTCCACAAGTTTTAAACAA